GAGTGCCTCTTCCCGCCGCGTTGGCGAGCGGCGGATTCGGCGGCGACGACGGCGACGGCGACGGCGGCGGCGCCGTCTCGTCCGCGGACGCGCTCGCGATCGTGGATCTGTTCGTCGGCGTCGCCGCGCCGACGCTCGCGCTGTTCGCCGCGGACGCGAAAGTCCGCGAGCTCGACGAGGACGCGGCGAGATCGGGGGCGTACGGCGACGCGCCGCCGCCGCCGCCGCCGCCGCCGTCGGATGAGGAGAACGAAAGAGATCTCCCGTGCGCGTACACCATCTTTTTCGCGATGCACGCCGCGCTGACGCCGTCCACCCCGGGCGCGAACGGCGCGCGATCGCACGCGGCGATCGTCGACGCGACCGGGCCGAGGTTGAAGGAGGCGGTGGAAGCCGCGGCGAAGCACCTTCCGGACGTCGGCGACCTGGGCATCGCGGGCATCTTGCGCAGATACGGCGACGTCGGCGGCGCTCCGGGCTACGACGACGACGCGATGGACGGATACGGATACGGCGGCGCGATGGACGGATACGGATACGGCGGATACGGCGGCGGCGCGAGCGGCAATCTCTTCGCCTCGCGGTCGCGGCGCGGCGGCGGCGGCGAGGAGGAGGCGACCCGCGCGCCGGCGACGCGCGACGACGTCTACGCCGCGTCCCTGGTCGCCGTCGTCGAGTGCGCGCGCTTCACGTGGGGGCTCACCGCGCTCGATCTCGGGCGCGCCGGCGCGGAGGACGTCGTCGCCGACGCCGCGAACGCCGGCGCGCTCGTCGCGTGGAGGGCGATCGCGCAGACGGGGTCGTTCCAGGACGACGTCGACGCGAGCCGGCGGCAGAATTTGGAGTCGACGCACGGGACGCTGCGACGCGCGATCGAGACGATGTTGAAGAATCCGGTCGTGGGGGAAGCGCTCGCGGCGGTGATGCCCGCGCCCACGGCGGCGCAGACCGCGCGCGAGGGCGCCGCGGGCGTGGGCGGCGGCGATGGAGGGGACGGCGGCGGCGACGGCGACGACTATTACGGCGGCGGCGACGGCGGCGGCGGCGACTTCGACGGCGACTTCGACGGCGACTACGGCGACTTCGCGCGCGCGGAAGAAGAGGCGCGCCTGCGCCGGTTGAAAGAGGAAGAGGACGCGCGACGCGAAGCGCCGTTGACGTCTCTTTGCGCGCTCCTCGCCGAGTGCTACGCGCAAGCCCCGGACTTGGTGACGTCGGCGTCGGACGTTCTCCCCGGGTTTTTAGACGCCGTCGTCGAGTGGGAGCACGGCGTCGAGTCCCTCGTCGGCGTCGTCGGGCTCCTCGCCGCGATCGCCAGCGCGGGCGGCAGCGCGGGCGCGTCCGTGTGGAGCCGCATGGAGTCCCCGGCGCAGGGCGCGGCGGTGACCTGGGACCACTTTCTCAGCGCGCTCGTCGGGTACAACCGACGATTCGCCGACGCGGCGGCGGGCGTGAATGGCGTGAGCGGCGGCGCGCGCGCGCTCGACGGTCTCGACGACGACGACGACGACGACGACGCGCTCGGCGGCAACGCGCTCGACGGCGAGATGCCCGACGCGGACGTCCAAGGCTTGCGCGCGTACCTCGGCCTCCTCTCCGCGCTGCTCGCGGGCGCGTCCCCCGCGGAGTCGCGGCGCCGCGTCGCGTGGATCGAGAGCCGGTACGGCGTGTCGTTGCTCGATCAGCTCTCGCGTCTGCGCGCGTGCCCGCTCGCGCCGCCGACGCTGAAAGCGGCGCTGCTCGACGCGCTCGGCGCGCTCGCGGGGAGCTCCGAGGCTGCGAGCGTGGAGCTGTGGCGCGCGCTGGAGGACGGCGGGTTCGACGGCGGCGACGGGTTCGGCGGGTTCGGCGTCGACGGCGACGATCGAGACGTCGACCGTCGCGATCGCGTCGGCGGGGTTCACTCTGTGGGCGGCTTCGGCGGTCCGTCGTCGTCGCCGTACGGTGGCTTCTCTGGCGTGGGCGCCGCGCACGGCGTGGATCCGCGGTCGGGGGCGTCGATTCACGGCGGCGGCTACGGCGCCGCCGCCGCCGCGAGGCAGGTGCAATCGTACGCGTCGCGCGGGCACCGCGCCGCGCGCGATTCGCTGGCGTCTCGATGCGCGCTTCAGATTCCCGGGATCGACGCGTTTCACGACCCGAGCGCGATCCGCGAGGCGCAGGCGCAGTCGTACCCGCACGCGCGCGCGTACCTGAAGCTCGCGAACCAGCTCCTGGAGCGGTGCGCGGGCTCGAGGGTGGGCCCCGCGGCGGGCGCGGGGCGCGCGTCGGCGGCGGCGTTTCGGTTCGCGCGCGACGACGTCTTCGCCGGGCTCAAGCGACGCGCGCACCGCGACGCGACGGAGCGATGGGAGATGGCGCGAGACGCGATCGAGCACTTCCGGATTCAACTCCGCGTGTACCGCGACGCGGACGACGCGGATAAGGTTCGCGCGCACGCCGTCGTCGACGCTTTCGACGCGACGATTCACGGCGCGAAGCGTCACCGCGTTCACGGCGCGTCGAGCTCCGCGGGGCCCGACGTGACGCACCCGCCCGGGTTCGAGCTCATGGTCGACTTCCTCTCCGGCGGTCCGATCCTGAAGCTCCTCCTCGCGGTGTTGTCCATCGGCACGGAGCGCTTGGCCGTCGAGCGCGCGAGCGCGCACGGCGAAGCGCTCGAGTCCGCGGTGCTCGCCGCGCTTCGGTGCCTGCGCGACGCGCTCGCGATGGACGTCGACGTCGTCGCCTCGCTCAGAGACGGCGCCGGTCACGGCGTCTCCGGCGCGACCAGCGGGAATAATCATTCGGGAATCGCCGGCGGCGTCATCGCCGCCCCGACCGGAGACACCGCGCACGTGTTCCACGACACGATCGACGTCGCGATGATGCGACTCTCCGCGGACGCCGCGCGCGCGGCGCGATTCGATCGCGATCGCGATAATCGGTCGTCGCGCGCCGTCGACGACGACCGCGCGAACGACCTCGACCAAGTCGCCGCGGTGCTCGGCTACGCGCAGTATCGCTTCAACCCCGAGCTCCCTTCCGCGTCGCTTCGCATCCTGAGCGTCCTGAGCGACCGCGTGGAGAGGCTCGTGGACCTCCTCCCTCGCCGCGCGGCCGCGGCGCTCGTGGAAGGCGCGGCGTCGTGCCTCGAGCTCGCGGTCCTCCCGAGCGCCGGCGTTAGCGACGGCGCGGGCGACGCGGACACGGATCGCGAAGCCGTCGCCGCGCAGAACGGCTCGCTCGTCCTCGACGTGCTCCTGGATAACCTCCCGCGACCGGCGCCGAACCTCGCGCACCTCCTCCTCGGCTTCGACGTCGCGCGAGAGACGGAGAGGTGCCGTCTGGACCCGTTCGGGGAGTTCAACTGCCTCACCGTGCTGCTCGAGCTCCTCGAGGCGTGCGCGCCGTCCTACGCCGCGAGAGACGTCGGCGACGCGGACGCGGAGCACGAGGCTGGCGCGAGGAAGGTGGCGGAGGCTGCGGAGGCGGCCGCGCGGCTCGTGTACGAGCTCGTCGCGAACGCCAACACGCGCGACGCCGCCGTCGCGTTGCTGACGAACTGGCCGCCGGGCGCGCCGCGCGACCAGCAGCGGCTGCCGCTGTTGCTCGCGGACGCGCTGCGCGCGTCGCCGCCGAAGTCGAGGGAACGCCGCGCCGCCACCGCGCACCACCGCGCGTGGATCGCGCGAATTTCCGCCGCGGTGCTGGACGCGACGTCGCCGCCGAACGGATCGTTCCCCGCGGCGGCGATCGCGGATCTGCCGCCGCTCGCGGGCGCGATCGCGGCGAATGCGCTGTACCGAGAGGGCGCGGAGGAGGGTTCAGGCGGCGCGAGTCGAATGAATGGACTCGACGGCGACGCGACGACGATCGAGCGGCCGCGGATCGCCGCGCTGGAGCTCCTCGCGACGCTGCCGCCGCCGCCGACGCCGCCGCTCGCCGCGGCGACGCTCGCCGCGGCGACGCAGTCCGCGGAGTCGCGCCGGTTGCAGCGCGACATGCGCGTGAGCGAGCTCCTGTCGGATCGACGGCCGATCGAGAGCGGCGGCGTGCTGACGGTGACGTCGCGCGGCGACGCGATCGTGCATCTCGAGACGCTCGGCGCGAAGCTCGCGGCGGAGTCTCGCCGCGTGTTGGCGTCGCGCGGCGGCGTTCTCGGCGGCGGGAACTTTGGCGGCGGGTTCGGGCACGGCGAGAGCGACTCTGGCTTCAGCGGCGGGCCAAACTTCGGAGGCGCGGTCGGCGGTTCGAGCCCCGGCGACGTCGGCGCGGGCGGCGCGGGCGCGCTGAGAGACGCGCACAAGGAAGCCGTGCAGACCGCGGTGAAGATGGCAAGGGCGTTCAACCACGCGGTGGAGGAGCAGTCCGCGCACGTCCACGTCGTCAGCGCGTGGGCGGACCTCATGGCGATCGTCGCGTCGCGGTGCCTCCCCTGCGGCGGCCCGTCGACGAGCCCGGAGGAGGACCCGCAGGACGCGCTGTTCGCGTTGTCCGACGGCGTGTTGGGCCACCTCTCGTCGCCGCCGTCTTCCGCGGCGGCGGCGGCGGCGGCGAAATCGCGCGGGTCCAGCGGGTCGGGCGAGAACGGCGGCGGGTTCGACGCGCTCGACGGGTCCCTCTTCGAGGGCGGCGGCGGCGGGCCGGAGTGGTGGGACGCGCGCGAGGCCCCGCTCGCGAGGCTCGCGCGCACGCTCCTCGAGCGCCTCCGTCTGGTCTCCAGAGGCGGCGCGTACGGCGGGCCGCCCACCGCGGAGGCGGACGGCGTCGGCGGCGGCGACCCCGCCGCCGGCGTCGCCGCGGCGACGTCGCGAGTCGGGATGGACGCCAACACGCGGTTCTACGGGCCAACGCTCGGGGAGATCCCTCCGCTGCCGCCGTCGCGGTGCAAGGCTCTGCTGCGGTCGCTCCTCGGCGCGCTGCTGCGCCCGCCCGCGAGCGCGGTGGGTCGGTCGATCGCGCCGGGCGGCGGCGGCGGAATTGGCGGCGGCGGATCCGCCAACGCGCCGGACGCGCGCGGGAACCTCTACGCCGCGCTCCTCGCCTTCTTGCAGTACGTCCGACCGAACCGAGCGGCGCAGCTGCCCGCGAGCGTGCTCGCGATCGCGCGCTCGGGAGGAGGCGACGCTAGGAACGGCCGCGAAGCGTCGCAGGAGTCGTTAAGGCATCTCTCCGGGGGAGGTTTCCTCTCTCCCGCGGAGGCGGCGAACGAGGCGGCCAAAGCTCAGGACGAGATCGAAGCCGGGACGTCCGCGCTGATCCGCCGCGACGCCGGGCCGCTCGTTGAGCTCCTCGCCAGGGACGTCGTGGACGCGGACGCGGACGAGGGCCTGCGCGCGACCGCGCTGTGCGCGATCGAGGCGCTCGTATCCGCGACGAGCGCGGCGGCGGCGGCGGTTTCCGCGGCGGGCGCGTCGACGGCGAGCCCGTCGTTTGAACGCGCGCTCGAGCGACGCGCGGGTGCGACGCCGACGCCGACGTCCGCGTCCGCGTCCGCGTCCGCGTCCGCGGTCGGCCGCGCGTTCGCGGACGAACGCGGCGGATTCGGATTCGGCGCGAACGCGCCGTCCACGCCGACTGGGACGCCTCACGGAGGCGCGCCGGGCCGCGCCTTTGGCCGAGCGGCGGCGTCGCCGTTCGCGCCCGCGTCGTCGGCCAACGCCGGCGCCGGCGGCGCGGCGTCGCCGTCGCCGTTCGTCGGCGCGGCGCGGCCGGTCGACTCCGCGGTCGGCGCGCTCGGGCAATCCCTCGCGCGCAGCGGCGTCGTCCGTCACTGCCTCGCCGCGGTCGAGCGCGTGGACCTCGCGGAGTTGATCCTCCCCACGGAACGCGCCGAGGTGAGACAGACTGCTTCCCATACGACCCCGTTCGCGTGGTGCACGCCGTTCCTTAAGGACTTTTCCCGTCGTCACTCTTCACCCGCGTTTCCCTTTCAACGTTTGACCGGTAAGACGTTCGACTGACCGATCGCTTCACCCACGCAGGCGGCGCTCGCGTCGGTTCGCGCGGCGCTCTCGTTGCTCATGCGTCTGGCGCAACTCCCGGGCGGCGGCGCCAGAGCGCTCGCGTCCTCGGGCGCGATGCACGCGCTGATAAACTGCCGCGCGATCGACGCGTACGCGTCGGACGCCGCGGGCGACGCCGCGGCGGCGGCCGCCGCGTCGGCGGTCCACGCCGCGGCGGCGAGACGCGCGGAGCGAGAGCGCGAGTACGGCGTCGTCGCGGGCGCCGACGGGATCTATTCCATCGCGTCCTACGACGGCGACCTCGACGCGTTCGACCTCCCTCGAGACCCCGCGGACGTCGCCGCCGCCGCGGCCGCCGCCGCCGCGTCGCCGATCGCGCCGCTCCCGCTGCCTCGCGCGCGGCACCACGCCGTCCTGGTCCCCGTGTTGCGGCTGGCGGGGACGCTCGTCAACGCGCTCGCGGATTCGCCCGAGACGCGCGCGCAGGGCGTCGCGTTCGTCGCCGCGCATCATCGCGTCATCGACCGCATCCTCGCGGACCGCGCGTCCAGCGCGCACCTCGCGGACCTCGCCGAGCTCGAGGCGGCGGTGACGCTGTGCGCGCGGCTCGTCACGCGGCGCGTGCCCGCGGGCGCGGCGACGGGCGTCGGCGCCGACGGCGCGACGACGCGCGAACGCGCCGCCGTCGTGGAGACGCTGACGCCCAAACTGGACGACCTCACGTCGCGGCTGTGCGAGGGCGACGGCAAGTACGACGCGTTCGTCGCCGCCGCGTCTCCGGAGGGCTCGCCTAGCGCGTGCACGAGCTCGAGCGTCGTGACGCGAAGGGTCGCGATCGCGACGAGAGGCGCGCGCGCCGCCGTCGGCGGGCTGTCGCCCGCGGCGGCGGCGGCGGCGGCGGCGCGGATGGAGCGATCGCTTCGCGCCGTCCGCGCCGCGCTCGTCTCGACGCAGCTCTCGCTCGCGGAGCAAGGCCGCGCGACATTCGCGGCGCTGCCGCCTCCGAACGCCGCGGCGAGCGCGTTCTGCGACGATCGACGCCCGACGCTGTCGTTGTTCACGCGGCTGACGGCGCGGTGCGCGGAGGAGACGCGAGAGGAGACGGAGGCGCGCGCGCGGCTTCTGCGCGGGCTCGCGAGCGACGGCGCGTCCGCGGCGTCCGCGGCGGTCGCCGTGGACGCGCGCGGCGGGTTCAGCGGCAGCGCGGAGTTCGCGGCGGCCGCGGCGGCCGCGGCGATCGAGGCGGGCGCGTCGCCGACGGATCCGTTCGCGAGCTCCGGGAGCGCGTTTCGCGGCGCGCCCGTCGCGGCGGCGGCGGCGGCGGCGGCGGCGGCGGTCGGCGCGCGCGAGCGCGGGATCCGCGCGCTGACGCACACGATCGAGGCGTCGCTCGAGCTCGTGCTGTCGCGCCTGTGGGAGCACCACCCGAGCGGCGTGACGTTCCCGGGGCAGACGAGAGGCGCGTTCGGGTGGAGCGGCGACGGCGGCGGCGGCGGCGGCGGCGGTTTCGGGCTCGGGCTCGGGCGCGCCACCCCCGGCGGGGGGTTCCACGCGAGGTCGCCCGGCGGCGGTTCGAGCCCCGGCGGCGTCGAGTACACGCTTCGAGAGATCCAGGAGCTGTCCGCGGTGTTGACCCCCGCGATCGCGACGCTGACGGCGCTGGAAGAGCGCGAGGAGACCGGCCGGTCGGTCGACGCCGGCGGGAGACTGCGGACGCTGGTGCGTCGGACGCGAGACACGCTGCTCGCGGCGGCGCCCCCGGAGGCGGGCGCGCCTCCGTCGCTGCTGTTTACCTCTGGCGCGAAGGACGGAGGCGTCGGCGTCGGCGCGGGCGCGACGACGACGTTCGGAGGGTTCGACGCGCGAGGCGGCGGCGGCGGCGCGAGGTCGCCTCTGAACGAGAACTCGCCCAGGGCGCCCGCGCCGAGGTTCGGGCTGTTCCACGCGCAGTGAGCGGGGGGGGGGGCGGGGCGACGCGATGACACATAGCTCTACTAACAACATACACGCGCGAAAGAATACTGATGATACCTCATCTCATCGCCCGCCGCTCACTTCGACGAGCGCGATCGCACCGTGCGCAGCTTCGAATTTCGCTCCCCGTTCCCTCCGCCGACGCTCTGCCACTTCGGATTGCGCATGTCGAGCGCGTGAATCGGATTCGCGAACGGGTACGCCTCCGCCTCGCCCGCGTCGAGGTTATCCACCTTCGTCTCGATGTCGGCCAACCCTGGCAGCCCGAGGTACGGCGCGAACGTGTGTCTCGTCCCTCGCGGCGACGGCGGCGACGCCGCGTCGGTTGACGTTTCATCTTCCACTTTCGCCCACGGCCCGACGCGCTTGCGTCTTTGGGTCGTTCCATACGAAGCGACGCCGGGGTGGAGTTCAAAGGCGTCAGACGGAGTTGAAAGGCGCCGAGGGCGGGGATTGAAAGCGAGGGGTGGGCGGAGAGAGACGACGGGAAAAGCCCTTAAGGAATGGCGTTCACCACGCGAACGCGGTCGTATGGGGACCAGTGTGAGATCGAACGCGCCTTAAAAACTCCCCCGCGGGTTTCAACACGTCCAGCACGAAGTCGAAGTCGTTGTGCCCGCGCCCCTTCTGAACGTGCAGCTCGCACGGTTTCGCGGCGAAGGACGTTATCCTTCTCAACTGCCGAGAGTGCTCGATCGAGATGACTTTATCCTCGTCCCCGTGGATGAGCAGCGTCGGCGTTTGGACGCGCGTGAGATTCACCCGCGTCTTCCACCGTTCGCTCACGAAGAGCCACGCCAGCAGCCGTCCCGCGCGTTCGCGCGCAAAATCGTTAATCGACGTGAACGGGCTCTGAAGAATCATCGCCGCCGGTCTCGAGCGCGCCATCATGTCCAACCGCGCGCTCGCGGCCGCGATCGGCCCGGTGCCTATGCTCCGGCCGTACATCACGACCCTCTCGATCGGCGCGCCGATCACTTCGGTCGCCAATCGCACGGCGGCGTACACCGCCACGTCCACGGTGTCCTCAGGGTCGTTCCATACAAAGCGATGTCGGGGTGGAGTTCAAAGGCGTCAGTTGGCGTTGAAAGGCGCCGAAGACGGGGATTGAACGCGAGGGGTGGGCGGAGAGATGCGCCGGGAAAAGTCCTTAAGGATCGGCGTTCACCACGCGAACGCGGTCGTATGGGGACCAGTGTATAGAACGCACCTCGCACGGCTTCCCCTTCGCGACGCCGTATCCGGGATACTCCGGGACGATGACGTGGCAGTGTAAGTGATGCGACATCGCCTTCGCTTCCTCCGCGACCGCGCCGATATCCACGGCGTTCCCGTGCGCGTACACGATGACGCCGCGGCCTTTGCACGGCCCCTCCGGACGCGTCGCGTCGAGTCGTAGGACGACGAGGCACGGCGCGGTCGCGTGGACCGGGGGCGAGCACAACCCGCCGGGGACGAGGCACGGGAGCGAGAGCAGGAGCGTCTTGTACACGACGTCCCCGATGACGAGCTCGCCCGCGAACGGTGTGCCTGCGGCGCGGGGGCGGGCGGGGGGGGAAAGGGATGGGGGGGGTGTGTGATGAGAGGCGTCGGACGAGATCGTAACCTTTCGCGACCTTTGTAACAGATCGTAACCTACGGACGAGGGGGCGGGTCGGGGTTCCGCGCGAGCGCGCACCGTCTTCGTCGTACGTGCTCTTCATCCGCGCGCCCGGGAAGATGATCGAGTCGACCGGGTCGATGCTTTTCCAGAGGCTCGACATCGCCACGACGCCGGCGACGTCGAGCGCCCGGGCGATGTGTCCGGACCCCGAGACGGACGACGGGGTGACTATGACTCTTCGAGGTTCTTCTCTCGCTCGTGGAAATCAGATTCTCGGTCGAGTGCTCCCGTCCCCTTTCATCGACACTTTGAAACCACGTGAACAGCGTGCGTGGTTGTAGTTGTACGTTTCAAAACCAGTTTCATCGATCAAAATCCCTTTCAACGCATCGCGTTGTTAACAGAGAAGTTTCGGTTCCCTCCGCGCGCGCTTCGCTGGTTCACACGCCCCGCGCGGTCGCGTCACACATATCATCCGCGCGCGCACCACCCGCGCACACGTCACCCACCCGCAGCCACACCGCGAACGCTCGCTACCGATGACGAAAACGACCGGCAAGGTGCGTCCGGGGATCATCGCATCGCGCGACGCGCTCGCGACGCGACGTCCGACCGCCCCGTCGCGCGTGATTTATCATCGCATCAACTTATTTTTCCCCGCTCCGCCGGTGACTCAACGCACCGATCCCCGTCGTCCCCGATCCTCGCGCGCAGGTGAAGTGGTTCAACACCCAGAAAGGGTTCGGGTTCATCACCCCTGACGACGGCAGCGAGGAAATATTCGTGCATCAGTCCGCGATTCACGCGGAGGGTTTCCGCTCCCTGCGCGAGGTGCGTCGCGCGTTCCGGACCGATCCCCGACGCGTCGAAATCGATCGATCGGTGTCGCTTCCTTTTCCTTCCTTTGGATATTTGTTCAAGGATCTCGGCTCCCCGCCGTCCATCGTCCGTCCGACCCCCCTCGCGCGATCGATCGTCCCGTCCCGTCCCTGACCCTGACCCTGACGACGCCCCACCCGCTCGCCCACCGCCGCGCCAACAGGAAGAGCCGGTCGAGTACACGGTCGAGAAGAGCGACGACGGCCGCGCGAAAGCCGTCGAGGTCACCGGCCCGGACGGCGCGCACGTTCAGGGCGCGCCGAGACGCGCGGCGCACGGCGGGCGCGGCGGTCGCGGCCGCGGACGCGGCGGCGGGCGCGGACGCGGCGGGAAGAAGGCGGCGGAAGGCGAAGAAGGCGGCGGCGACGCGCCCGCGGCGGAGGCGGAGTAGACGGCCGGGCGGGGCCGAACGCGGCGGACGTCGAGCTCCTCGAAGAGAATGAATGGATGAATTGCGCCCCCGCGCCGATCGGATCGGACGTGTCCGATCCTCTTCTCCGCGGAGCGCGCGCGACGCGCGGACCGCGTGATCCGATCGTAGAGTAGCGCGTTCATTCACGACTTCTCTTCCCCTCCCCGCGCGCGCCCCCTCCTCGTCGGCTCGAGAGGTCGCCGATTCTCTCCGCGTTCGCGCCAATTCATTCATCACGACTTTCCCCATCTTCTGACCGCCGCCCTCCGTAGTCCCCGCGGGGGGCTCTCTCCATCCCCCCAGCGTCGCGGCGGCCATCCCCGGCGCGCGCACCCCGGACGTTCCACCGTCGTCGCTCCCCGGCGCTCTTCCGCGCTCGAGCGCGATCGCGGCGAAGCCCGCGCCGCGCGCCGACCCCACCTCGAACGTCGTCTCGAACGCGTGCCACGTCGAGTGCGATCGCACCACCGTCGCCTTGAACTTCACGACGTCCCCGACCGCCATCCCGTCCGTCCCCGCGATCCACGGCACGATCGCCTCCGCGCTCGGGTTCGAGCTGCGGTACGCGTCGTGCGTCGCGTGATCCGGGCACAGCGGGTGTACCTGCGCGCCGTCCGGCATGGAGCGCGGATCCCACCCGCCGATCGGAGTCTCCGGGCCGTTCCATACGAGCGAACGTCGGGGTGGAGTTCATAGGCGTCAGAAGCGGAGTTGAAAGGCATCTAGGGCGGTGATTGAAAGCGAGGGGTGGGCGGAGAGATGCGCCGGGCAAAGTCCTTAAGGATCGGCGTTCACCACGCGAACGGGGTCGTACGGGGACCAGTGTGAGATAGAACGCACCTCCTTCCCGGTGGCGCCGTCCACGCGCACGGCGCCGATCATGAAGCCCTTGAACGGCGTGCCGTCGGACGACGAGAGCGACAGCGGGACGACCGCGCCCGGGACGTTCACGCCGGGGCGTCCGAGCGCGATCGCGAACCCGCCGTCGCCGTCGCGCTTCGGATGCGGCGGGTCGCCGTGCACCACGCCCGCGTGCTCGCACGAGCCCGCCATGGATCTGTACGCTTCCACTTCGCGCGGCGTCGTCGTCGCGAGGAGGAGGAGGAGGAGGAGGACGAGCGCGACCCCTCGGGGACGCGGCGCGACGTTTCGTCGCGGAGACGACGCCATCGTCGTCGACGTCGACGTGGCGGCCGGCGCCCGCGGCCGCGCCGAGCGTGCTGACGAAGCGGACGTCTTGTCAGAACCACGCTTGACGTGCGCGAGGGCGTCGGGGAGAGGGATCTCCGCGCACGCCTCCTTGAGCTGCGACGGACGCGACGAGGGAGAGATGGCGGAGGAGAGGGCGTCGTCGGGTCGGAGAGAGCGCGCGGGAGGGACGACGGACGGCGTCGAGCGCGAGGAAGAAGACGACGGCGGTGCGCGAACGAACGGATGGACGGACGGACGGACGGCGCGCGCGCACCAAGAGCGAGCACGCGCGCTTGTCCACCCGCGTCGTCCACACGTCCGCGAGCTCGAACACCGGCGGCGGCGTCGCGGGGACGTGCGTCGGTTCCCCGAGTGCGACGTCCGCCATGCCCGCCGCGGCGGCGCGGCGAGACACTGACGAGGAGGACGCGTCGGGGCGACGAGTGTGTACGTGTACAGCTGTGAACTGTGAACTGAACGCGAACTTGACAGCTTTTTTTTCGTCGCCCGAACCGCCGCTCCGCGCGGTCCGTCACTGTTCGCTCCCCGCGGCACGCGCACCCTCAGTTGCGCGCGCTCGACTCCTTCCCCGCGTCGAATCCAAGCGCGCGCGCGCGCGGCGCCGTCGGGCGCGCGACCGACGCGCGCGACCGCGGCCGACGCGCGCGCGGCTTCCCCTCGCCGCGCCTCGATCGCTTTTCCGCGAATCTCGCCATCGCCGTTTTTTTCGCGCGTCACCATCCGTCCGTCCTCCGCCGCTCGTCCACAGGCGCGCTTCGGCCACCATGGTCGCTAGTAGGAAGAGAGCGCAAGGCAGGACGCGCGTCGTTGAACCGAGCGCGAAGCAAAAGAAGTTCAATGCCACGGTCCAGGACATCCGCGACCGCTTCGAAGCGCGCGCGGATCCGTCGTGCAAGCTCTCTCCGAAGGAAAAGTTCGACGCCGCGCAGCGCGACTTGGAGAAACTCGTCGACGCCATCGGCGAGTTCCACGGCCGCAAGCTGCACTTCAGGCGGATTCTTCTTCCCGAGGACGCGGAGTGGAACGAGAGCGGCCTCAAGGAGGAGTTCAACGTCATCATCGGGCACTTCGAGACCGACGGGATCGGACTCCGCGGGAACTTGCGAAAGCTCCGCAGCGACGGGAAGCGGCTCGTTTCCGACGTCTGGGACTGGTTTTTTGTTCACATCGGTGACACGCCCGCGGCCGGTCGCGCTCGCGCGCCTTCGTTTGTCATGGGCAACATGATTCCCTGGCCTGGGCGTCACGACGCCGGCAAGATCATCTTGAAAGGCGTCGGGACGCGCGAGAGGAAGTTGATCGAGGACTTGATCGTCGAGGCGTTGAACGCCTGCGGGACGCCCGAACGCGCGGGGGGCTTCGGTCGGCCGGTGAGTTCCTTCTTTCCCACGCCCCTCGACTTTTTCGACGACGCTGCGCTGCAACGCCCCGATCTTGTTTTCTGACTGACGCGCGCGCCCCTTCCTCCCCCGACCGTTCACAGGCACGCGAATGGATGGCGAAGCACTGCCCTGCGGATATGCCCGCGGAGCGCGCCCTGTGGCCCGAGCTGGACGGTGATGTCCACACCAAGTCCGTTCACATGTGCTTGGCGACGTCCATCGGGTCGACGCGGTGGCTCACGGAGCGCTTCATCCGAGGCATGGCGGACTTGTTCGTGCACTTCGGCGGGCCGGCGGGCACCTTCGACACGCTCTTGGCGAAGTTCAAGGAGGACGGCCGCCTGCTCGAGATCACGCCGGAGATGGCGGCGTGGTTCTCCGAGAGGATCAAGGAGGGGCAGCAGTACTGGAAGGTGACGGGCCAGTCGAAGAACGCGCCCGGGGTGGGGACGCGCGGGGTGAAGAAGAGAAAGAAGGCGGCGAGGGTGAAGAAGTTGATGGAGACGCTGAGCAATAGGACCGCCCCGGAGAAGGCGGCGACGCGGAAGAAGATGCTCGCGACGCTGAGCAAGAGGACCGCCCCGGAGAAGGCGGCGTCGGAGAAGAAGAGGATCGAGACGCTGAGCAAGAAGACCGCCCCGGAGAAGGCGGCGACGAAGAAGAAGATGCTCGCGACGCTGAGCAAGAAGGTGAAGCTGAAGAGGAAGCTGAAGAGGAAGAGGGGCGAGGGCGCCGGCCCGCTCGTGGTCCTGCCGCTGCCGGACGTCATCCACCGCGTGCAGCACTACATCGTCACGGGCGCCAAGGGCGACCGGCGCGCCGTGTGCGACGGCACCGTCCTGTGCGCCGTGTGCAAGACTGGCAAGACGAGCAGGTGGCGCACCGGCGAGAACCCCGAGGAGAAGATCTGCCAGAAGTGCTACTTGAGAGACAAGGTGCGTACCTGCTGGTCCCATGCTCGTGTTCCTCTCCACCGTGTCCCACCTCACCTCTCTTCTTCGCGCAGGTTGACGACGACTACGTCTGCCCCGGGTGCGGCGCCGAGGACGGATCGGACTGGCTCGTCGCCAGGGGCTTCCTGATCTGCCACAACGGCAAGCTGGTGACGGAGGGCGTGCGGATTTGCACCAAGTGCTCCAAGAAGGAGGTGAGGTCTTACTTTGCACGTCCTGTCCGACCCGATCGCTGACTCTGCTTTTCCTCTCCAGCCCCCGTGCGCGAACGCGGCGTGCGTCAACGACGCGTGCAAGACCACGGAGATCAAGAACTGGTGCGCGTCCAAGCTCCAGAAGGACACCACCACCGGCAAGGGGCTCCCGATGTGCAAGCCGTGCTACCACAGCGAGGTGCGCATCCACCCAACCTCGATTCACTCCCACCATATTTCCCGCCTCTGACCCTCCTCTTCCTCTCGCAGCCGGCGCGGGTCGGCGACAAGTGCGCGGTGTGCGACTGCTGCTACCCGAAGCGGTGGGCTCGGTCAAAGAAGCTCAAGAGGGCGGATGGCACGCCCGCTCCCATTTGCCAAAACCCCTGCAGCGCCGCAGAGAACAAGCAGATCAAGAAGGAGGCGAAGGAGGCATGATCCCCTCCTCCCTCCCGACCCGACCGCCGCCCCACCGCCACATCCACGTTACGCACGACAACATCGGTCACCCGCCGCGACACGCCACCTTAACAAAACCTAGGCTGACCAACATCACGTCCACCCACAAGTAAACATTTTGTAAATACGAATGTTCGAATAAACTTCAACGTCTTCTCGCCGCGCGCCTCCTCAGATCGGTTCGGCGCGAGAGGATCGAGCCCTCAGGATCTCTCATCGTCACTGTCCGCGGCGCACCGCCCGCCATGGGCCGGGTTCTCGGCCTCGCCGAGCGCCTCTGGGCCGGGTTCTCGTACTCGCGGAAGCAGTGCCTCGCGAACGAGTCCGCGCTGTTCGACCACCTCCTGAAGGACCGGGTGCGTTCGCTCGACCTGACCCCTCATCAGACCGCGACACGATGACGCGACCTTTCGTCAGTGCGTTTCCTCCTCCCGACGCGACGTCACCCGTCCGCTCCCCCCCTCTCCCCCCGCGACGCAGGGCCTGAAATGGGTCGCGCACGACACCCCCGTGACGTCTAAACCCTGAGGCTGGGAAGTAACTCGGGCAGCTGTTCCGTGAACTGCGTCGTGTCGCACACAGCCGCGGGCGTGTGAGGTGTACCTATGTCTACCCCTGGCGCTGTGGGGGACGAGTCGTACGCGGCGTCGACATGCGCTTCTTCGCCGCCGTCGTGATGCGGATGCGGCGTCGAATGATGCGGCGGTGGCGCCGTGCCGCTCGCGTGCGCGTGCGGCGGGTGCGTTCCACTCCACGCGTACGGGTACGTGTGCTCCGCGCGACCCGCGCGCGCGTGCGGCGCCGCGGGAGAGAGGTCCACCCCGAGGGCGAGACGAGGGGAGGACAGCGCGCTCAGCGCGAGCGCGAGAAGGAGAAGGTGCGCGATGCGCGCCATGACAGATGATGCGCGACGTGCGTAGGCTGTGCACGGAACCGACCGCGCGCGAGCGGTGAGACGCGGAGGTGCTGGACCAGCTTCTGCGTTTAGGCCCTATCAGTCTCGCCTCGACAGACACACACGATGGAGCCCCGCGCGTCGCCGTTCTACGACGGCGACGTCGCCGGCGCGATCGCGCTCGCGAGAGCGCACAACGTCCCCCTCCTCGTCGCGCTTCACGGCGGCGACGACGCGAGCGCGAGGCTGGACGAGACGTGGACGTCGGAGACGTCCGAGGTTTCGCGCGAGATTCGCGGCGAGACGCGCGCGGCGGGCGAAGACGGCGACGGCGACGGCGACCGCGAGGGGGTCCCTCCGCGCGCGCGATGGGTCGCGCTCCGCCTCGACGCGAACACGACGGACTACGCCAACTTCGTGAAACTGTTCCCGACGTCGTCGCTGCCCGCGGTCGTCGTGATCGACCCGAGCGCGGGGTCGACGCTCGCGCGTCTCGAGGGCGAGGCCGCGACGAGCGACGCGCCGGACGATCTGCTCGCGGCGTTGACGGCGTGTCGCGAAGCGCACGAGCGGCGGCGCTCGACCGTCGTTTCGGACTCCGCTCGGACGACGCGATCGCCGCGGGGACGCACCGTGCTCGTCGCGCAGCTTCGCCGCGAGCGCGTCGAGGCGATCCTTCCTCCGCGCGGCGACGACGAGCCGGCATCCGAGCTCCGCGAGCCTCTCCGCGGTCGCGAATCCGATCCCGTCGATGTTCTTTTGCCACCTGGACTGCCCCGTGTCGAAGATACGCGCCTCTCTCAAGTGCACCCTGCCGCGCAAATTTAGTCGGAATGGCGCGCGACGACGACGACGACGACGACCTCCTCGAGCGGTTCGACCGCGACGGGTACGTCGTCGTCCCGCGCGTCCTCACGAGCGAGGAGCTCGAGATCGTCAGGAGGGAGTGCGGCGGCGTGACGCGCGCGTACGCGACGCGCGGTGGGCATCGCGTCGTCGCGACGGACGACGACGAAGATCTCGACGACGACGACGACGACGAGACGCGACGGAAGCGCGCGCGACGCGGACGCGGACGCGGACGCGTCGACGACGGCGACGGCGACGGCGACGGCGACGGCGACGGCGACGGCGACGACGCGAGCCACCTCCAGTGGCTGTCCACGTCGCACGGGTGCGTCCTCGAGGTCCCGGGATGCTGCGACTGCTGCGACGTCCCGGACAAAATCCGCGGCGGGTATCGCGTCCGCGGCTGCGTCGCGCGATGCGATCCCGCCGTCGACGCGCTCCTCTCGCGCGACGGCGCGCTCGGGTCGCTCGCGGTCGCGCTCCTGCGCGCGCGACCGGGCGACGCCGCCGCGGATTCGGTGTGCCTGTTCAACGACCAGTACATCGTCAAGCCGCCGAGTCGCGCGAGCGCGAGCGCGAGCGCGTCGTCGTCGTTCGCGTGGCACGTCGACTCGCAGTGGCTGGGCGACGAGGACGCGGGCGACGACGACGACGGATCCGGGTACGCGCCGTACGTCTCGCTGTGGACCGCGCTGGACGACGTCGACGACGTGAACGGCGCGGTCATGGTGTTGCCGTACCCGCCGGCGACGCGCGGGAAAAGCGGCGGGGACGGCGGGGACGGCGGGGACGGCGGGGACGGCGGGGACGGCGGGGACGGCGCGTCGCCGACGAAAACCGAAACCAAAAAAACCAAAACCGCGTCGGCGGCGCGTCATCACCTCGAGCGTTCGCGAGCGTACGGGGTGACGCCGTCGCGGCTCGACGCGCTGTCGCGCGGGGAGTGCGCTCGCGGTGATGGTGACGGTTCAGAAGACGAAACGTCGCGAATCTTCGCGCGCGTCCGCGTGTGCGCGATGCGCGCGGGGAGCGTCCTCGCGTTGTCGGACCGCGTGTTGCACTGCTCGGGTCCGAACGCGAGCGGGGCGTCGAGGCGCGCGTGGATGCCGCAGTTTTCGCTGGGGGCGGTGCGTCGATCGGGGCCGGCGGAGGGCGGCGTCGTCGCGTTGGCGGTGCCGATAGACGGCATAGGTAGGAGGAAGGAGTAGAGACGTAGAGTAGCAGTCCGCGTCGCGTTGTCACACGACGACCGACGACGAAAATAGTGAACGTCTTCTGATGAGTCAAATGACGATGAGACGACGGGAGAGACGCGCGCGCCGATCGCCACTTCGAGGCGCGCGCGCGGACGCGGCGGCGTCGGCGTCGGCGAGGGCGGATCCTCCAACTCGCCTCCCGACATGGCGTCGTCCGCCGCCGCCGACGCGACGCTCGCGCGCACGCTGCGTCAGTGCGCCTCCTCGCTCGCGGACGGGAGCGTCTCCTCGAGCGAGCTCCTCGCGCGCGCGTCGGCGCGACTCGCGCGTCTGCGCAGCCTCAACGCGTTCGTCGGCGGGATCTTGCCGTCCGCGGCGGGCGCCGCGGCCGCGAGCGACGCGCGCCGCGCCGCCGCCGCGGACGGCGGCGGCGGCGACCGCGCGCCTCCGCCGTCGTCCCCCGTCGACGGCGCCGTCGTCGCCGTCAAGGACAACCTCGTCGTCCCCGGCGCGCCGACGACCGCGTCGTCGCGCGCGCTCCGCGGGTACGAGCCGCCGATGATCGCGACCGTCGCGGACCGCCTCGCGCGCGTCGGCGCCGTCCTCCTCGCGAAGACGAACATGGACGAGTTCGGGATGGGCTCTCACGGCGTCCACGGCGTCCACGGCGCGTGCGTCTCGCCGTGGATGGCGCGCGGTCGTTCGGGCGCGAAACCTCTCGCGTCGTGGAGGGATCTCCTCCGCTCGGAGACGTCCTCCGCGAGCGCGACGACAGAAGAGGAGGAGACGCTCCGCGGGCCGCGGTGCGCGGGCGGCAGCAGCGCGGGCGCCGCCGTCGCCGTCGCCGCGGGCGTCGTCCACGCGTCCGTGGGCTCGGACACGGGCGGGAGCGTCAGGTGCGTTCTATACACTGGTCCCCATACGACCCCGTCGGCGTGGTGAACGCCGTTCCTTAAGGACTTTTGCCGTCGTCTCTCTCCGCCCAGGGTCCCTCGCTTTCAATCCCCGCCCTCGGCGCCTTTCAACTCTAACTGACGCCTTTCAACTCCACCCCGACATCGCTTTGAATGATGGAACGACCCTCAGACTCCCCGCGGCGTACAACGGGCTCGTGGGATACAAACCCTCCTACGGCGTCGTCTCTCGGTGGGGTCTCGTACCGTACTGCGCGTCGCTGGACACGGTGGGGTTCATCACGCGAGACGTCGCGGACGCGGCGACGCTGTTGGATATTACTCAGGGAATCGATCCGCTCGACGCGACGTCCGTCGACGCGGACCCGCGGACGACGCGGCTGCTTCGATCGCTCGGCGTCGGCGTCGGCGTCGGGGGAGGATTCGCGGCGAGGTCGAGGTCGAGCGCGACCGCGGCGTCGCGCGACACGCGCGCGTACGAGGGCGCCGGGAACGACTACGTCAAGTCGAGGCCGTCGTTTCACATGCGCGGGTGGCGCGTCGGCGTCCCGGCGGAGTACGACGCGTGTGAGGTGTCGGACGAGGTGCGGAGAGCGTGGAGCGCGACGCTGCGCGCGTGCGAAGACTTGGGCGCCATCGTCTGCGCGGTGTCGCTGCCGCACACGCGCGCGGCGCTCGCGGCGTATTACACGATCGCCCCCGCGGAGGCGAGCAGCAACCTCGCGCGGTACGACGGCGTCCGGTTCGGGTTCGGTGGTTCGAGGGGTGGATTGTCGGACGATGGGGGGATACTGTCGGACGATGGGATAACGTCAGCCGACGCGGCGTCGGACGCGCGGGGGAAAGGGTTCGGCGCGGAGGTAAAGCGCCGCGTGATGGTGGGGACGTACGCGTTGGGGACGGAGATCACGAGCGCGTACTTCGAGCGCGCGATGCGCGTCAGGGCGCTCGTCGCGGACGACTTCGCGGAGGCGTTCGGGACGAAGCCGCGACGCGGCGGCGGCGGCGGCGGCGGCGGCGGGGTCGATCGACGGAACTTGCTCCTCGGCGCCGTCGCGCCGGGCGGCGTCGGCGCGGCGCCGGCGCCGGTGGACGTGATCCTGACGCCGACGACGCCGACGACCGCGCCGCTGCTTCGTGACGTCCTCGCGACGAGCGTGCCGCGTTCGCGCGCGTCCACGGCCGCGTTCGCCGCGGACGTCATGACCGTCCCCGCGTCGTTGGCCGGTTTACCCGCGATCAGCGTCCCGGTCGGGCTCGGCGCGGACACCGGGCTGCCGATCGGGATGCAGCTCATCGGCGCCGCGCGAGGGGACGTCGGGCTGCTCACGTTCGCGGCCGCGCTCGAGGCGCGCGTCGCGAGCTTAGGGTCGGAAGGCGGCGGCGGCGGCGGCGCGGGAGGGGTGATCGGGTGGGGGGCGGAGCACGCGGCGCTCGGCGTAGACGACGCGGATCGATTCGCCGCCGCGGAGTGACGAGCGCTCGCGGAGGATGATAATGAATGGTACTGTACTGTATGATGATGTGCACGCGTCGCACATAGACGAAGCTGTGAGAATACGAGTACAGACAGTGACGTACTTTTCGCACGCTCAGGGTGCGCCCTCGCGATTCCAAACTCGGGGCCCCCCGTTTACTTACCCGCGCCGCGCGTGATCGGGATAGGATCGCGCCGCGTGCGTCTTCTTTCACGACGTCCCGCCGCCGCTCTCCGCGATGAGCCGCGCGCGCTCCTGCGCGCGCTCGCGCTTGCCTTTTCGCTTCGGCTTCGTCTTCGCGCCCACGCCCGCGCCCGCTGCCGGGGCGTCGAGCTCGCGCGCGACCCCGTTCGATGAGGAAGGCGGATGCGGATGCGGACGCGGCGGCGGCGGCGACGACGACGGCGGCGAAAACGAAAACGGACCGGGTCCGCGCGTCGAGTACTGCCCCTGCTGCGCCATCCGCTGCCGCTGCAAATTCGCGAGCATCTCCTGTTGCTGCATCTGTTGCTCGTGCTGCTGTCGCATCCGAGCCGCCATCTCGTGATGCTGCGCGAGGTACGCCACCTGCTGCGGCGAGTGCTGTTGCATCTGCGGTTGCCGCATCTGCGGGTGGTGCGTCTGTTGGTGATGCGTCCGGTGGTGGTGTTCATACTGCGTCTGCATCCGCTGCTGCATCTGTTGCTGGTCGTGAAACCCGTGCTGTTGTTGCTGCGTGAGGAGGTGATGGTGGTCGTGGCGCGCGTCGTGCGACGGCGGCGCGGGCGACGCGACAGGGATCGCCGCCGGCGGCGGGG